ACGCAAAATATACATTGGATTTTACACACTTGGGTCCAAAAAAGTAAAGAAACCCCTTAATAGTTTTCAACATAGCAATTAAATGTGGAAATGATAGTACTTTGGGTATATTAGGCTACAAAAACACTGAAGTTGATTTCACATCATTGTCAAATGAGGCTACCAGAAATGAACACACAGTTTACACTAATTCGTATTTTCACTGTAAAGTGCCGCTCTAGGGCCAGATTACTCAAACAAAGCCAGCAGCATGGCCATCACCTGGGATCTTGTTCAAAGGCAGATCTTTGGGCCCCAGCCCCAAAGTGCTAAGCAGACTATGCATTTTAACAAGACCCCCGTTTGTTCAATATACACATTGAATACTGAGAGGCACTGTTAAGGAAAACCTGTATTTTCCCTAAGCGTAACAATCTCACTTTTCTTTAATTTATCTATTTATTAAAATGCTACAAGGGGTCATGACAATTCTAGACAACAAGAACGCAAGGTGGATAAAAAATGCAAAATAAATTTCATTTCCTGTTTTGGTGGAGTTTCTATTCCACAGAAGATAACAAATTAAAAATAACAATCCAGTTCTACTGTGAACGCTTGTTTTTAAAAATGCAAATCTGTGCAAGACCAACTGATGCATCATGGACTTTCAAACCAACTTATTAATGCACCAAGAACGTATCATAGTGTCTGTGCAAAACAGCCAGCTTCAGTAGAAAAAAAAAGACTGAAAATCAATTAAAATACCATAGAGTGTCTACTGAGCCACAAGATGTTAGGAAAATCTAAAGGTGTCCACTTAATAATTTTACCAAAATAAGGAACTTAAAGAATACTAAAAAAAAATACAAGAAACATTTCGATTTAAAATGTAGCATGAATAGGAAAAACAGCATATGACAAAATTAGTGTAAACTTAGTGCACAAGAATACTGTGCTGATACAAACAATGAACTCATTTAGAAGAAAAAGCTGTTCTGGTCTCCAAAGTCCTTTCCTGTATGCCACTGCACCTGTTGATTCTACAGAGATGCATTACTCAAAACTAAAGCAAGCAGTTTCTCACGTCCCCATGTTTCTGACTGATTATAATTTAATAAAATTCTGACTGATTATATTTTAATAAAAGGAAATGTGCCCACAAGAAACTGAAAAAGAATTGATTCTCTCTGCTCCACACTCCCACATAGTTATCTGCCACCCAAGAGAATTTATACAGAGAATCTCTTACTTACTCACAAGACTATACCAAAAACAACGTTTTGTGTGATTCACCTCCAAAAATGTGAATTTCTGAAGAGCTACTAGTGGAAGTGGGGTACTTAGGCCCTCAAAGATTTGCTGAATAAACGATAACGAGCCTGTGAGTTCACACAATGAAAGAAAAGCTTTATCTGATTAAATTAAGTGTAGGCAGTGCTGGCTTCCCCTTTTTAAATGAAATAAAACACACAGCTAGTTTGAAGAATAGCCGAAGGTAAATCAGTTTTTGTTTTTAATTTTTCAAATGCTACTTGTATATCCTCTGTATTTCTCTCCCATTTTTCACTGTCAAGGACTAAGGTATAGACAAAGGGATTTGTAAGTTACATATAGGCATTAATACTGAAAGTATACAAATACTCATACACTTTGAAAAAATAACCTCATTTCCAAGAAAATACAGAACAGATCCAACATGGCTGAATAGGGTATAGCAACAATAACACGTTGCGGCCACTTGGGGAGTGAACCCGGGAAAGGGAGGACCTTTCTCTCTGTCTCTCCCTCTCACTATCTGTAACTCTACCTCTCAAATAAAGAAAATCTTTAAAGAAAGTTCATATGGAAATCACAAAAGGCCACAAATAGTTGGAGTGATCTGGAACAAGAAAACCCAACCTGGATGAATCATAATACTCGATTTCAAAGCATCCTACAAAGTTATAGTAGCTAAAGCAGCTTAGTAATGGCATAAAATCCAACGTGTAGCTCAATGGAACAGAAGAGAGAGCCCAGAATTTAATCCACATACAGATAGCCAGTTGACTACTGACAAAAGTGCTCAGACCACACAGGGGCGTTAAGGATAATATTCTCAAAATGGCGCTGGCAAAACTGGATGCATATACAAAAAAGAACGAAAGTAGATCCATATCTCTCTTCACATACAAAAATCAACTGAAGATACATCAAGGACCCAATTTAAGACCTGACATTATGGACGTTATGAGGTTGCTGGAAGAAAACGTAGGGGAAGCACTCAAAGACACTGGTGAAGGAACAACTTCTTGGATGGGAACCCCGAAGCACAGGCAGCAAAAGCAAAACTAAGGAAACAGGACTATATCAAACTCAGAAACAAAGCACATGACAATTAGAGTGGGGAGACATCCAGCAGAACGGAAAAAAATAGTTGCAAACCCTCTATCTGCAAAGGATTAATATCCCAAATACACATGCAACTTAAAAATTTCAACAACAACAAAATAAATCCAGTTCGGAAATGGAAAAGGACTTCAAGAGACAATTCTCAGAAAGAAGAAATACAAATACAAATGGCAAACAACCATATGAAAAAATGTTCAACATCTCCAGGCTTCAGGGAAACTCAAATCAAAACCACAATGAGACAGCTCCTTACCCCTATTAGAATGGCTAAAATCCAAACAACAGAGGAACAAGTGCTGGCATGGATGTGGGGAAAGGGGAACACTTAGGCACTGCTGGGAGGAATCTCAAGGAATCAAGCAGAAAGAAATGTTTGTGTGTATCAGTATTGCTGCAAACACAGTTTGTAAAACTTTGTTTTATGCTTCGTGAAACCAGTGGTTAAGAATGTTATCCTACCACAGTTTCAATGATCTACAACTACTTAAACATTTACCACAGAGGGATGAAACGCTCATTTCTCCGTTCAATTACTGTTTACACTCAGTGTCTATAGTCTCACTAAACTGGTATAATTTTGTTTTTTACTCGCTAAACTTATCTAGTAAAGTATTAAGCCTTTTTACTGTAATGTAATTTGAAAATTGGCTCAAAGTCTAAACCAAAGACAGAAAGAAAAAGGAGAAGGAAAAACAGTGGAAAGGAGAAAGGGGGAGGGAGTAAGGCAATTCCACTGTGTTCTTACAGCTGTGTCTACAAAGCACACTGAGTCTGCTAAACACTAATTAAAAGAAAAAAAAAGAAAAGAAATACAAAGAAAACGGATGCACAATAATTTGTTCCCCACATCACCGCTTACACATTTGCCAAACAAACTGCAAAAACGCAGTACAGAACTAAGAAAATAAGGTACATTCAATAAATAACTACTGAAATGTATTAACTGTAAACACAATATGTTAAAGAAAACTACACATAATATCATGAAACTTCACATAGTACCAAAGCATTTACATAAAATGTGTGTACACATGGAAAAGATGAAGATTATTTGCAGAGAAATAAATATATGAAGGAAATGAAATTAAAACACATTGTAAGTTCTTAATTTCCTTTTAAAACTGTCACTAAACTGTCATGGTTTTTAGAATTCAGAGGGAAAAGGATTTGAAATCTTGGTTACCAAGTCAATTAAGGTCACCTGCATCCCATCCCTGAAGTACCCGGGGTTCAGTATCCACCTCCGGCTCCTGACTCTGGCTTCCTGTTAAGGTGGATGGGGAAGGCAGTTGTGATGGCTCAAGAAATCGGGACCTGTTTCTGGCTCCTGCGTCTACCTTCCTGTAATGTGGACCTGGAGGGCAGTGGATAGGACTCAGGCATTTGGGTACCCGTCACCCTTGCTGGGAACACGGAATGAGTTCTCCAGTCCTCAACTCAGCCAGGCTCAGGCCCAGCAGTTGTGGGAATTGGGAAGTCAACCAGCAGATGAGAATCCTCTTTATGGCTGTTTCTTGCCCTATGTGTGTGTGTGTGTGTGTGTGTGTGTGTGTGTGTGCGTGTGTGCATGTACATGCATAGGTATGAGTATCTGCCTCTGACATAAATCTTAAGAATACATAGAAACCACCCACTTTGAAGAATTTAACTTTAGTTGGTTAAGAGGCAAAGAGACGGAGCTCTCCCATTTACTCCCTCACTCCTTAAATGCCTGCAGCAGCTAGGACTGGGTCAGGCTAAAGTTAAGAGCCAGGAACTCAGTCTCCCATGGGGCTGACAAGTACCCAGACACTTGCCATCACCTGCTGTCTCCCCAGGACACACCTCAGCAGGAAAGCTGGAATTGGAAACGATCCAGAGTTCCAATCCAGACGCTGGAACACAGGCCACAGACATCCCAAGCAGAAATTGAACTCCCACATCAAACGTGCGCCCCCAAGCATCTGACAAATGACGCCCACAGGCTGTGAGCCTGAAGTCAGGGTGAGGGGCACTCTCCAAGCTAGAGAAAACCCCCTCGCAACTGCCTGCCTAGCTTCCTTCCCCTTCATTTAGTAGATTACGACTGCTGTGACGTGTCCGGACCCAACCTGTTAATCCGTACTGCCCACCTGATGCCCACGCCACGGCCAACTCAAGCCGCCACCGCGCCCTCTCTCTCTTCTGCTGCCCAACGCAGAGCCACAGCCGCCTGCTTCACTGCCGCCCCAGCGTCACTGAGGCCCCGCCGCCTTCGCCGCGGCTGCCCATCGCGTCAGCTCCGCGGCCCCTACCTGCTGCTTCCTTCCGGGCAGCCCGACGCTGCTGACCCCGGACTCTGCACCAGAGCCGCCCCGCGGTATCTTTCCGCTCCGCCCCGCCCGCCACCGACCTGCGCCGTCCAGAGCACCACGTCCCACGGGACGCCCACACGACAGCAGCCGCTTCCTGGCTTCCTGGTTCACTGCTTCCAGCGAACACTGAGGCTTCCGGCCTAGGAAGTCCCAGGCTTCAGTGAGGCCGAGGCACAGCCGCACTTCCCAACCCAAGATGCCCGGCACGGAGCAGCCACTGCCGCCTCTATCCCTGCCACCCCGCACCGCCGCTTCCTTCGCCGCACTTCCCAGGGCTACACTCAAACCGTCCCCACCTACCTCTGCTTCCTCGCCGACCGCCGACTTCTCAGACCGCCGCCGCCACTTCCTTCCTCACCGCTGCCGCTGATGAACTTAGCCGCCCCGCCCACGACGCCGAACGCGACCCCGACGCTACGCACGCTGGCGCCGACGCCGACACCGACGCCATACACGACGTTACAAAGCAGACGCTGACACAGATTCAGAGTCAGTGAGCGTCAGCGTCAAAGCGTCCTGTACGGCGACGGCGTCAGCGTCGGCGTCGCAGTCAGCATGCGTAGCGTCGGCGTCAGCGTCGGCGTCGGCGTGAGTAGCGTCGGCGTCAGCGTCGGCGTCGGCGTGAGTAGCGTCGGGGTCGCGTTCGGCGTCGTGGGCGGGGCGGCTAAGTTCATCGGCGGCAGCGATGAGGAAGGAGGGAGCGGCAGCTGTCCGAGAGGTCGGCGGTCTGCGAGGAAGCAGAGGTAGGTGAGGACGCATCTGCTCATCTGCTCCCCAAATACCCACAGCAGCCAGGGGTCGAAGCGGGAGTTCGCAAGTCCCACAGGTGGGTGGCAGGAATCCAATTACTTGAGTCATGCTGCCTCTCAGGGCCCTCATTAGCAGGAAGCTGGAACCAGGAATTGGAACCAGGACTCAAGCCCCTGTCCTCCAGTGTATGCTGTGGGTGCCCTAACTGGTGTCTTAACCGCTGAGTCAAGCACTCATCCCCTACATAGGATATTTTAAACAGATTTGTGTTAGTATTTGTTCCTCCTCATTGGATTTCTTTGGAATGTGAACTCTCTCATGTTCATACTTATTTCGTTGTATTTGAGGATCTTTTTCTTCAGTTATATCTGCGGTTACTACTTCTTCTGTGGTTGTCTGCAGGGGTCTCAGCAGTTCCTGTATTCTGAGGGTGCTGGTCTGGTCCTTAGGCTCCATTAATACTGTCTTTTTCTGTTCAGTTTCCTTCCATTTCTTTATTGCCTTACACTCTGGATTCAGAGCCAACTTTTGGAGCACATCCTTCACAGATTATACTGTTCTTTTTCTGTTGTGTGGATTTCATTGCACCAATTTCAATCCCCCTGTTACTTTTTATTTTGCTAATTGTTTCCCTTTACATCTTATCCTGTTCACTTTTCACATCTGGATGTTTTCTTCTCAGGCTTTCTGTTCCAGACTCAAAAATGCTTCCAAAGGCAGGGCACATTTCCAATTTTACAAAGCTGTAATTTCTGAGTGATGGTGTGACTTAATATTCTCTTTATCTTATTATTTTTATCTTATTAGCCAATGGGGGAGAATAGTGAGTGTTCTACAGGAGCCATTTTCAACTGGAAAGCCTGGGATGCCTAAGCCTAATATGTTGACTGATCGAATCAGGATTATAAAAGATGCCAGCAGGAAGGAACAAAGTGTTAGAACCAACAAGATGGATAAATGGAATCTGAGAGGCTGCCTGAAAAGAATGTCAGCTAATGGCAGGAGAGGGGGTCCTGACTTGTGTATTTCCAGGATTACACATCCTGTTTACTGCTGAGTTCACTCCTTGCCGTTTCTGAGCAATGTCACCTACCCTTGAAGTCTGCAATTACTGCCAGATGCTGAAGATGTTAACACCTAGGGCCCTGGGCCAGGCCAGGCACCTAAATGCAACATTGTGCCACAGTGAGCTCATTAGCTTGACTCAGCCTTTCTGCCAACCCTGCCCAGTGCCTGAAGTGCACCCACCTGATTACTCGGCCACTCTTGACCCCCAGCCTGTCTTCATCTCCCACAGGAAACCATTTGCCTCCCAGAGATTTGGCCTGCCTCATAAATATTCCTCCAGATCTTGGAGCAGGTACTCAGGGCCTGGAGGGCTTCTTCCCTGTCTTTGCATGTTTAAATCCATCCTTTATGCTTTTTTTTTAATCTAATACCATCTCAGTATTTTTTAAAAACACAAACCACGTTTGATCACATCATTGCTCAATGCCTTCCCAACTGCTCCACGCCCACCCCCAAGAAAAAGTCTGCGTAGGGCTCCTGACCCTTGCATTTTTGTGACATGTGGGTCACAGCCAGTTGTCTCGCTCCTCTGCTTTTGCAGTCAGAAATGTTTTCTCTCTTTCCTGGAATGCTTTGCTCCCCACACCTTCCTGAAAAGCTCATTTTCCTTTTGGGAATGCACTCAAGTTCCATCCTAGGTGCATCCTCCATGAATTCTGAACAATCCATTTCTCAGTGCTTTCCCTGGACTCCTCACAGACTTGCATGCATGGCCGATTCCCTCTTTGAAATGGCATCATTTATGTTCAGTATCCCTACGTATGTAAGTACAGCCATTTTACTGTCAGTAAACGAGTTTTTTCCCATTAATTCACCTCCCCCAACTTCCTCTCCCAAACACTCACTCCTTCAGTTCTTTTTGAAACTTCACATCCTCCCTTACCCCAAACCCAGTGGGCTCTGCTCCTCCGAAAATTCTCCTTTAACTTCCCCGGGTTAGTTGGTGCTATCTTCATTAACATTCCTTGTCACCCACTGTTTCTAGAACTCTGTGCTTCATTCTCACAGCCTTTTATGTTTTAAAGTAGTAGTGGTCATGTTGTATTTTACATTTCTTATTCTTACCAAAATTTCAAACCCTGAAAAATAAGTCAGTCAAACATTTTCCCTTTCCCCAAACCATCAACACTTCTACTTGGAGAAAATTATTTTAGGTATCTGGATCTGCATACTTATGGATACGCAGAGGCAGAGGAATACAGGAAAATATGGGATCATATAATAAGCCTCCTTTTCAAAAATTACTACTTTTGTTTTTACTTGACTTTGAGGAAAAATGACTACAAGCAAAACTAACGATATTGCTGAACTTTGATAGACTTTTTAAATCAAAGAATATTAGTTCCTAAATTATCCTCCTGTAGTGATAAGGTCAGACAGGGAAACGTAAATAAGTTGGTGCCTGTTGAGTTCCTTTCTTCAACTCTGAATTTCTACTCTGGAAAATAAGGGACTTCTCATACACAAATAGTCTCCCATTTCCTTAAGCATTTTTCTGATCTATGATATTTACACTGCAAAATTATGAATTTTTATTTCTTTCTATACTACAATTATCCATAGTTGCTACATATTAGTTCTGCGTGTAAGTGAACTCAGGACTTGATCACTAACTGTATTTTTATCATAGCTCACATCTCATTAAACTATCTTGTATTTGTAAAAAATATTTAAACAGGCGAAAAATAAGATATATTATATATACTGGTAGAACACATACTTATACCCCACTTCCCAAATGTAATCAATATTACTTCATCAGTTTGCTTTTCTAAATTTTATTTATTTCTTTTTCCTTCTTTCTGAAAGGCAGAGAGAGAGAGAGATGATAGAGTAGGTAGATACAGATAGATCCGTCGTTAGACAAGGAGGTGATGGAGATAGGCAGACAGACAGACAAAGGCCCCACTGTTGGGATCCCCACAGTTGCTTGGGCTAGGCAATTGACTTTTCACATCTAAATGTTTTCTTCTTAGGCTTTCTGTACCAGATACAAAAATGATTGCGAAGAAATGACACATTTGCCATTTTAGAGTGGTAATTGTTTGAGTGATGGTGTGACAGGTTGTCCCCTTCCTGTTTATGTTAGTAGCCAAGAGCTATATTATTACACAGACAGGAGCTGTAAACTGAAGCCAGGTCTGCCATCAGGGGGGCAGGAACCCAGTCATTTGCGCCATCACCAGTGCCTTCCAGGGGCTGGAGCCAGCACTGGAACCCAGGCACCCTGATGTAGTAGGCAGGAATCTTAACCACTAAAAAAAAAAAAGGGAGTAGGGAGGAAAAATACTCATTTGCACTTCATGTTTTTTGAAATAAAAATTATATAAAATGTTTTTGAATACAAATTGAACTTAGAGCTAGTTTCATGTTTTTCTATTCCACATATAGGCACTTACTGACATCCACTCAGAGTTCAGCAAGTTCATATATGGAAATATATATTAACATATAAATGGATCGGAAGATAACATGTAATATTATTTTAATTATTTTAACATATCTTTATTAATATGTTTTCAGAAATATACAGTATTAGGTTTTATATAATCAGTATATAATGGAAAATCGATGTCATTGCCTTGGCAATCAATATCTGGTACATTTAGGTCTACTCTACTTATTTAGATTCCATATCATGAGGTATATGTTAACTTTGCACCCATCCTGTGCCTTACTGACGGCCTGCAGACATTTGGGTTGTTTCAGAATGTTGCACTAGCATTGACAGCCCTGCAGTGGGCATTATGGTATATATCTTGTGAGCAGATGGATGTGTTCCTTTGGGTACATACCTTGAACTAGAATTGCTGGCTCATTGGTATGGGCCTGCTTAATTTTATTAGACATTTGCAAATTACTCTCTAATGTGGTTTTGCAAATTTACATTGTCAGTAGCTGTGTCTGAGAGTACACATTGTCTATCAATGTTATGAATGCTTGATTTCACACTTTTCATTTTTGAAAATCTGATGGATATCACATGCTATCTGGTGACTATATTAATTTGGATTTTTCTGATTACAGAGGAGGCCAAGCATGTTTTCATAAGCTTATTTCTATTTGGGCTTCTTTGACACATATCCTATACAGATTTTTGTTCTTTTTAAAGACTGCATTCTATTCATCTTACATTTATATGTTACCTGTGTGCTAAACTTTTCTTCTACCCCGTGGCTTTCATTTAATTTTATTTATAGCATCTTTATTGTGAGAAGATTCTAATACTAATATAATTAACTTGCTAAGTTATTCCTTTTAGGGGTTGTTCTATTTGTACACTCTTAAAAAACATCATCTTTAATGCCAGGTCATAGAATTTATTTTAGAAATTATACAGTATTGATTTTCACATGTGTGTCTTTTATCCATTTGGAATTTATTTTGGAGATTGCCATTGAACCCGTAAGATAAACACTTTTTACAGAAGTATTAATCAAAGAGTCTGTCTTTCTGCCATGATTTGTTTAAGTAAAGATTTTATTCTATAATAATTTATATTTGTTGAAAATTACACAGATAGTACCAAGTTTCTACTTTCCTCTGTTGTTAATGTTTTTACATTGCTGTGGTACATTTGCCTTTGGCTAAAATTCAACATTGGTGTCGGATTATTAACTGAATGCCATAGTTTATATGGATTTCTCTACTTCTGCCCAGTTAAAATGATCCCATCCAGG